AGGAGTGCGAAAATATTTTTGTACTGTCTATATTATGCATATATGGATGTCAAAAATTTACGAAAAAAAAACTCGAAATAAGATGGCCAAGGCAATGCATAAAATTATGAAAATTGGTTGTGATGAACTTGTTAAGGAAGCAATTAACAAATGCCAAGTTCACGCTATTAAACAATATATAACATGAAATTATTCAAAAAATACAAATCAGTGGGCCCTTTGGGCCTGCCAACATTTCCCTCTACTTTTACAAATAATCTCGACGAATGCCATTGAGTCATACTATAGCGAACTAAAAAGCACAACCATCTCTTACCATGGATTGATAGGTAGTCGATCATAGCAAAATTCATTGTAATAATATTTCGTTATTTATTTTAAAAAAAAAACTTGGATAATACATTTGCATTAAGAAATCGTGGTGAAATTTATTACATTATTAATCACTAATCAATCAGAATTATTTGAAAATTTAAATTGATCTAAATAATGTATTTTATTATGTAGTTATGATTTAAGTAATTTAAAATAAATTAATTTTTTTTTTAAAAAAAATAGAGGCTTGTTATAAAATAATCACTCTAGATTTAAAAAAATAATCGGATGCAGAATATATGGCCTTTGAGTTTCGCACTAAACAAATATCTGTTTTCAGGGTCGATTACGAAACTTTTACTCAAATTCATAAGTTCTCATTTCCTCTTCAACAATTAATCATTAGTGAAGTTCATGCTGTTGAGAAAAGAATAGAAAAAGGCAAAGAAGCACCTGGTTTAATATTTTCTAATTGCTATTGTCTTTTTTACTGTCGATACTTATTGCCCTGCTGTCATATTTTTTATGAGGAAATATTTGGAGAAAAAAAATTGTTAACGGTTAGTGTTTGAGAAAATTTTCAGCAAATGTTTATGGAAAATGGGTTTGAAGTGTACACAACATGCAAGTTAGTAGAAATAGAATTGCCCAAGAAAATAAAAATCAAAAAAGCCGCAGAAACCCAATGTTCAACCATATATGAGTTAATCGAGAGAACATGCAGTACCTATTGGAGAATCGAAGAAGAAAGGAATGTAGAACAGAAATCTGCTTTTGTTAAAACATTAAAATCATCATTAGAGTTTATAAATTCGCAAGAATAATAAGAAAAAAAAAAATAAAAAATAAAAAAAAATAAAAAAGAAAATAAAAAAAATAAAATAAAAAAAAATTCAAATGGTTTATATAAACTTAACAGGCGGGGCATATTCATGCTGGTGGTAGCATTTGCAAAATTAACACATTAATAAAAGTATGCAATTTCAATTTCAATCTAAAATAGAACATTTTAGAAAATTGTACAAAATATATTCATGTATGATAATAAAATTACAAGCAAGTTATATGATCAAAATTTCAATTTTGATTAAATAAAAATTGTATATTGGTAAATATTAATGAATTTTGATTCTTAATTAATTATATAGAAATTTTTACTTACTGGCTTCTTAATGCGAATAAAATTGATGGTTACAGGCGTGTTAATTCAAAGAAATTAAACGAGTAAGGCTAATGAATTTTAAAACATTCTACTTTGGTGAATGCATAATTAATGATCTTTATACTTACGGAATTGAACATTTGAAATATTTAGATTGTGTTTTTAAAGAAAATTTAAAAATAGTCTCACTTAATTAATTGAAAAAAAATAAATAAAGTAAATATTGATGAATTTGAACTTAACTAATGATCTTTATGCTTACAAGTTTCTTACCCTTAATAACTACAAGATGAATTCTTGCTTATGACATAAATTCCAAATGAAGTAACAGTAAGATCAATCTATGAAACAATTTCGCTTCATTAATAATTGTTGAAATTGGTTTCACAATTCTAGTCAGTAGTGTTATAACATCTCTCCAAAGTTTTTTTCAAGAATCCTACTCCATGATCATAAGTCTTAAAGCCTATTACTTTGAAAACTTTTTCGATAAATATTATTAAAACATAAATAATATTTCAATTAAGCAAGTTTGAAGATTTTTAACCAATTCATCAAAAGAAATTCACAAGTAATGAGTATAAGCTCAACAATAAATGATGCATCATGTTTTATTCTTCTGTAGATATAAGATTTATATATTTTGGATTTTTTTTTCTTGTAATATAAATTATGAATCACAATAATGTGTAAAAAATAACTTAACTTATAAAATTTCAAATTGTTGGAAGCATTTTTAAATTAAATGTCTTAATATTTATCTTTATAATTCGTCGGTTCATTGCAAAATATAAAGATCTGTATATTAAAAATTAATTGAACGAATGAAGGTAAATATAAATATATTATTAAATATACTGCTGTATCTTTATACTTACAGGCTTAACTATCGTGAGAAAAATTTAAAGTTCATATATTAATGTTCTTTAGACTTAAAGGCCTGATTAACGCGAAGAAAATTAAATTAGTAAAGGTGTTCATTAATAATTAAAAACTTAATATATTATAAGCACGTAGGGGTTTCATATTTACAAGCTCAATTAACACGAAAATTTATACCTGTTCTACTAAATTTTATCGAAAGTTGCAATAAAATAGTATTCTGTAAAAAATTATTTATATACGTACGTACGTATATACAATACACGTTAACAGTTTAAAAAAATGCCATTCCATAATTACCTAACAATCGGATAATTTCATGATGTACCTGGCTTTAGCCATCTCCCACTTACGTCGTTTAGGAGTCCAGATAATTTAGTTAGAAAATTTTATTTGATAAGGCAAAGCTTTACACTAGAGATATACAAATATCATATTTGTTATATAATTTTTTCAAGCCTAGTACGGGTAATAGTAGTGCTAAAAGGATGGAATTTTCTGCTGTCCTTTTTGTTTTGTTTTTTTTGTAATTTTTTCTTTTATATTTCCTTTCGTATTTGTTTTCTTTTTCTATATTCTTTTTTGTTTTTTCTTTTTCTCTTTTGTTTTTGTTATTTTTATTTTATTTATAGTTTTTGTTTTATTACTTCTATTTGTTGTATACCCCTTTGAAAAAGAAAAAATGTTAAGAAAAAGGCAACCTTGACAAAGCTAGCAATAAGCTTTCTTTGATTTTTTCGGAGAGTCATCTAGTAAGTTAGATGCCGGAGAGAAGTGAATTATTGCTGTGGCAGATCGCACTTGGGCACCATTATGAGCAGCCGAGTGAGTCTTTATTGAAGAGTAGGAGAGTAGAAAGTATTGAGTTTATTGCAGGCTTTTTGTTCGGAAACCATGTATTTAGATTACACACTCCTAATACAATAAAGGCAGAATTGCCAAATTTAAAAAATATATATATATATATATTATAATAATTAATATATATATATTTTTTTAATCTTAGGCAGTTTTGCCAGTACTTTATTAAGATTCTAAGTATATTACTAAATTATACACTTTACTCCTAATTTGCAAGCCTGATATCACCCAGCTATCTAAATGGCATCTAAGTGCAACCTGCTACACTAATTTGAAGATTACTCTAAAAACTCGAGGCTGTGTTAAATCAGCCTAAGTGCCACACCAAAATAGCTTTCCACTGACTCTAATTCTATTCCATATTGTCTTCTTTACCAAAGTATCTATTCTTCTACTTGTAATTTTTTTTTATCTTTAACTTTTTGTAGCATGGCTTCTTTAGGGTTAGGCGGTTTTCTATTTTTTTGATAAGAATTTTTTTGTATTTCCATTTTTTTTTTTCTTTTTTTCCCATTAACCTTCTTTTTATCCTACACTTTGGTTCTTTTTCCTAATTTTTGCTGTTTAAAGATGTCTTTTTCTTGTTCTCACTCTATCATTTTTTTACATCTCGATCACTATACAATTTCATGAAATCTATTCTACAAAACATGTATTGCTGTGTCTAAAGCTAGATTTGTTTCTCTTTTTGTTAAGCCTTGGTCGATGAGCTCTTCTATGACTATGCTTTTAAATAAACTCTGAGTATAGCCTTCTCTTCATTCTTTTTGCTCTTTGTATATTTTACCAAATAAACATTTTTGAAGTTCACTTGTTCATAATTTCCCTCTTCTCTCAGGTTTTCTTATGAGGGCTTGTACTGATTTAATTGCTACTTGTTCAATTTTATGCCAATGGGTCTGCTATGCTCTGCAGTATGCTAAATGATCTTGTGTTTCTTCTATATTATCTTTACACAACTTGCAGCTACTCTTTTATATAGATCTGGCCTTTTTTTAATGAGGTTGCTTAGTACTGAAAGCTGATTATGCAGGCATTTGATTAGGAAGTTGAGCTTTTTTTCTTTTTGTATTGATGTACAGTGCATTTCACTTTGGGACTTAATTCTTCTCCATAGACTTTTCTAATCCCACTTCTGTGTGTTGTCTCTTGGCTCGAGTAAACTTACAGTACTTAACATTCTCTATTCTGCTGCGATTCTTGTATTTTCGAGTTCTTTAATGAAATTTCTTGTCAGAATTTCGATAAGACTATTCTGCCAATAAATATTGTATTTAAGTCTTGAACTTGATACTACCTCTTGTATTTGTAAATCTGGTGCTAGTAACTCTTTCTTTGCTAAATGATTTGCCTCATTGTTCTATTTGTTCTTACTATGACTCTTAACTTTAATCAGTTCTAGCTTTAATTCTTTCGTGTTTTGGCATCTATAATTTTGAGTAGCAAAAAATAGTTTTTTTGTTTTAGCCATTTTCTATTCGTTCTCAAACCTTCACCTTTTTTGATTGCATCTATTGTGGCTGTACTATCTGTATATATTTTAACTTTGGTCCTTATCGAAGCTATAAGTAGAACTACCCATATTGCTGCTAATTTAGCTCTTGTCGATAATGGCCAATGTTCTATACTTAAGCACCTCTCCTGTAACTTAGTTTTTTCATTTTCATTGATTTGTAGCCAACCTAAACCCTGTCTGCATAATGCTCTTCTGTTTCTTGTTTCTTTGAATAAAGAGCCATCTGTATAGAAAGTTAATGTTTTTTGGTCTGTTTTTATATTTCTATCTAGTTGATTTAATAATAACCCATCACAATATTCACTAAACCCTTGTTTTTTAATATAGTCTCTCTCTAACCTATTTATATAAACTATATCTGCCAGGCTTGCATGATCTAAACTATATGAGCCTCTACCTATTTCTCTCCTACTAGTTATATCTAGATCAATATTATTTTTTCTAATTCCTTCAAGTGAGCTTTGTGTCATATCAAGAACCCAACTACTATTTTGCTTTCTAAGTCCTTGCAATACTGTGATTACTTTTTTCTTATTGATTCACTCTGTTTGTTGGGTGTTGCTTGATATAATTGCTTTTTTATTTATTCTGATTTTACCTTTTTCTTTTTTACAAATTAACTACTTCTCTGTGCAAATCTTTCTTTGCTCTTGCTAATTACTCTTTGAATTCTCTTTGTTGTTGACTAGTATCCAATCAAGTTTATGTTTGTCTTCTGAGACCTTCACTCTTTGGGGTATTAATGCTAATTTGTTTGTGCTACTTGTTTGCAGATCTTGCTTTATCTCTCTTGTATCAAAGTTAGTGATTATCTGATTCTCGATTGACTTAAACCAAATTGGAACTTTTCTTTTACTAGATCTTTCTTTGACCCATTTAAAATAATACCACGTGATTATTTGCTTCCCTTGCATATCCAAGAGCTGTTCGATAAATATTAGATCTGGGGATTTTAATATCTTTGCACACTGCATGAAAGCTTTTCCTTCTATCATACTATATATTGTTCTACTTATATCTTCGGTTTTCCAACTACCTTGTGTTGGTTTAATTACTAATTGCTTCTTTGCTCTCTTTACTAAGGTTAGTATTGCTTGATTATATTCTAGAGTTTTTCAAGCACTATATATTCTTCTTGACCATCAAAGTTCTCTGTTAAACCAGCTATTTGGTGCCCTTGCCAAATTCTCAGCTTAGTGATTTTGTTAATTACCTCTTTATTATTTAATCTATTATACAGACTTGTGATCTGTTTATTTAATAGCTCTGTGCTTAATACTCTGAAATTTTCTATATTCTTGTATGTAGTTATATAGTTTGGTACTGTAACTTGAAGGTCAAGTTTGCTTTTTACTAGCCTAATCATTAGTTGATGGATCTTGTCTATTAAGTTTTCAGATGCTCTTGATAATTGAAGTAGATAACAGAGTTTGGGTATAATACATATGTTATTAATATACACTAATTGGCTAACTATAAGTTTTTTCCACCTTAGTGCTTCTACTATTTGCTGTACGATTACTTTGGCCTTTTTGTGTACCAAATTCTCATTCATTCTACAGTTGAGCCATATTCCAAGAACTCTCATTATGTTATTTGCCCTTTCTTCTTTAATTTTCTTATTTTCAAATATAATACATCTTTCTTCTAATCTGGGCTCTAGGTTGAAAACTATAAGGTTTGATTTTTTCCCATTAATCTGTATATCATTGAGCTCGAAGAATTCATTCGCAATCATGAGCATTTTCTCCATCACTTGTCTATTAGGAGCAACCCATGTAGTATTGTCTGCAAATGCTACAACTACTACTCTTATTTTCTCATTCTTTACTTCACTCTTTTGCGACAAGTTAGGGTTTAGAGCCTCTATGGTATAGTCAAGCTCTTTGCTCTTCTGTACTCTTACTAGTAGTAGATCATAAAAGATCTACCAGAGTAATGGTGAGAAGACCTTTTCTTGTTCTATTCTATCTTTTATTTCAACTGGGTTTGTAAAACCAAATACTATTATTATATGATTTTCTGTTTTTAAATAGCATTAGAATTAATTTTATTGTTTTGGATAGAATCTTTACTCTTTTTATTGTTCTTTGTAGCATCTCTAGTGATACTGAATTAAAAGCCTTCTTTATATTTTGTAAAACCACCCATAGCTTGGCATTTTTCTCTTTCACATCTTCTGTAATCATGTTTAATATATGAACTGAATATTCTGTAGAACCTTCTAGTAACCCTGCAAAATTCCATCTTTGAAGAATTTGGTATTTAGTAAGCACTTTTAAAAGCCTATTGGTAATAATTTTCATTATACATTTTCTGAATGTTTCTAAAAGGGCAATTGGTCTTGTATTCTCTAAGTTATAGTTCTAACTTGTATTTTTTGATATTGGGTAGATTTGTGACTTTTTCCACTCCTCTAATATGGCTAGCTTTCTTATACAGAAGTTTGTAAAAGATCTAAAATACTCTTGAGTTAATGTACTTGTGTTTTTGAAGAGGCTATATGTAATCTCTGATAAATCTGGAGCTGTGCTACTTTTTAAAGACTTTAATGTGGAAATCCACTCTTTTTCTGTAATTCGCTTTCTATGTCAGAATACCAATTTTCCTGAACCCAACTAATTAGATAGTAAACTTCTGCCCAAGCTTCTATCTCTTCTGGCTTTTTTAATAATCTTTCTCGCATTTGTCTCTCATAATGTGATCTAGTTTCTTGTAAGACTTAATTTAATTCCGTAATTAAGGTTCTATTTCTATTTTGTTCTTTGAAAATTCTATCTATTGTAATTTTATTGTGAGGTTTGTCAAGAAGGCTGCTTAGCATTTTTTCTTGTTTATTTTTAATTAGTTTATATCTTTGGTCTATGCTTAGTTCTATTTCCTTGCGTTTGGTAACTTCTAGTTCTTCAGCTCTTTTCTTATCTATTATTCTCCACCAACCTTTTATATCTTCTAGCTACTCTACATAGCTTTCTAATCTTATCTCAGGCATCTCGAGATATATTTTTTTGTTTGCTTTTCTAATATTTGCATTGACCTCAGCCTTTACCTTTTCAAAACTTTCCAAATTGCTAGCTTTTCTTATATACCTTATCTATCTACTTATCTCTTTTACTAAATTTGCTAGCTGTGTTTTGGTGCTATTATTTTTGATTTGAGCAATTACATTGCATATTCTCATTTTTGAAAGGCTTCTATTTGCTGCCTCAAGGATACTTGTTTTTAATAATGACCAAATTTGATTTGCTAATTAAGATAACTACTCACTATCGATATCACTACTTACTTCAGCTCTTTTCTCTAATTGTGCAAATAACTCTTTTTTTTTCTTTAGTTTCTTTTTTAATATTTTTCTATATTCTTCCCAGTTTTCATTTGTTGTTTCATCATAAAGGTACACTGTTCTAAAATGTTTTCTGTTTTTTTCTATTGCTGCTAGTGATTTAAAAATAAATAAGCTTAAATCTAATACAGTATATACTGCTCTATGATCACTTTTGATAATGTATTCTATATCCAAGATTTTTGCATTTGTGAGACTTTTTATTAGATTCTCAAATATCCAAATTTGGTCTATTCTTGTTGCATTTGTGGACCATATATACCCTTTGCTTGTGTTGGGTATATAAATCTAAACGTATCAGCAAAACTGTTTTTTCCCAACCATTTATGTATCTTTGACAGTTTATGTCTACCTGACTCTTGATTAATAAGCTTATCCAAACTTGGATCTACTATGTAGTTGAAGTCTCCCATTATTACTATATGAGCCTATTTACTTCTTTTTATAAATAAATCCAGTATGTACTTTTGTATACTCTTTTTTCTCTCTTCATCGTTTGGAGGTATATATACTACAATTATGATAAGCTCTATGTTTTTAAAATAGAATCTAGCTACTACTGTAATATATACTCTTCATTTGTGTCTATACTACCCAAGTGTTTTTCCCAAGAAGTTTGAACTTCTAACGCTACCCCTGAGCTCATCTTCTTATCTTTTGCTATTTTCGACCAAAAGAATCTAAAATTATCTCATTTTTTACTTAAATAAAAACCTTTTTTTTCAATATTTGTTTCTGTTAGTCCTGTTACATTAATTTTCTCTTCTAGCACCCAATGCTCCAAGAGCTCAAACTTTTGCTAATTTGTTTTAAGACCATTAATATTGTGTAGCATGCTAAGCTTAGTGTTACATCTTTAGGTTTTATATCTTTTTTTATACTATTAGTGTTTGCTATCTTTATGTTTACTCTAGAAGATGTTCTTTCTGTTATATCTAGCCCACTAGGTATTTCTTTTTGCAAGATAGTCATGGGCTGTTCTATCTTACTTTTTCCCTTTAATTCAACTAGGGTGCCCTTAGAAGCGATTTGGAGCCTCATCACCTCTATTGCTTTCCTGGTTTTCTAAATTGCTAAGTCTATTTATAATCTGATTAAATATGCTCTTGATTTCACTACTATCTTCTATAGCTTCTTAGGTTTTAACTTGTTTTCTTTTCTTATTTTCTAATTTTACTCTATTTGTTTAGTTGCATATTTTGTTGTATAACCTTTTTGCTCTTGCGCTATTCTATTTTCTAAACTGTTGAGTGCTTTTCTAGTTGTGCTTCTTGATCTAGAAACACTATTTGCTCTACTACTTCGTTCACTAAAAAATGTCTAGTATATGGATTTCTAGACTTATATAAACCTTTTGGTTTCTTTTCTATATTTTGTGAAGCATGTGCTTCTATACTACTTAACGATCTTTTTTTGTAACTATAATGTGAAGTTAAATGATAGGTGTTGTTCGTCTTTTCCAGGTGTGATTGCTATTGCAATCTGGTGTTGAAATAGTATATAGTACATTTTTGAGCTTGAATTAGCTCCTTTTTTGTTTTGAAATATATACATGCTCTTTTGTTTTGATTTCCATTTCGATTATCTAAAATATATACTGCTTGAACTTTGTGTCTTTTCAATTGGCGGAGTAATAGGCTATCTGATACTATTGTTGGTACATTCCAAATTGTGGCTTTGAATTTGTTTTTCTTTTCTAATTTAGCAATATTAAATCTACCTGGAGTTGTTCTGTATGTTTTGCCTCTGTTCAAATGAATCGATCAGCTTTCTTTTAGAGTATTTTCTCTTTTTGTAATGCTTGTTATTACCTTAATATATGTTGCTTTGGATTTAAAGTTTTGTTGCCAAGCCAGAATAGTTGCTGACCCAAAATAATTAAGATACTTCTTAATTTCGTTCGCATTTATTTCTTTCAGTAAATCTAATAATATGAAAAAATACTGCAATTTTGCTGCACTTTGCAATTTGAATTCACCTTTTGGGGCCCATACCGAATTGAAAATGTCTTCATATTGCTTGAGCTTTTTGCTAATTTTTTTTCTAGTTGATCTTGCTTTAGTCTCAACTTTTTCCATTATTTGTTCATCAATACTATAGTCAGAAATACCACACTCATTTTGTATTAACATATCTTTAACTACTTCTAATTTATTATTAGCACTATATATACTACTCTCTTGTTCTATATAATTTCTTTTTTGTGAAAGATATTGTAAATTGCTATCTATATTGCTAGCGGCTTTGGTATTTGTCTCCACTGTGTATGTTGGAGTAATTTCTATTTGAGTTAACCTTATGTCACTTTTTTAATATTCTCCTGTTTTTGTTTATCTACTATATTGCATATAGGCATAGCTTTAGCCTTTGGTTTTAAGTTCGCTTTCTTTGTTGCTTTCTTTGAATATGTGATTTCCATAGGCTTAGGATCAATTCCCTTGTTGTTTAAATTGTACTATACTGAAATATTGTTCATGTTGTGCTTAATTCTCATTAAGATCACTTCTGGCTCTGATAAGCTCTCTCTTTTCATTTTTTTGTATTGAGCCAAGTCATAATAATGTTAAACTTTGTGTATCATAGCAATAGTATGTACTTTATCTGTACCTAAAAATTTAGTGATCTTTTTGTCTTCTTCAAGGATCCAACTACTTTGTCTATTGTATATTGCTGCTCTTTCCTCTTTTGATTTCTTGAAGAAGTTTCTGTAATCTAGTAACTCTATTATCTTACATATTTCTTGTTTGTTTACATATGTGTTTTGTTGTTTGATTTCTTATTTGTATATTGTTTATTTGATCATGCTTCCTTTTTTGTACATGTTTGTTTACTTTGTTGTTTGTTTTGTT